CTAGCCTATTTGACTAGCTTTTAGGAGTCAAAAATTCATGCAAACTGGTGTAAGGGTAGCTAACATGTGTTTAAGTTAATTCATGGTCGAAATGTCTGGGTACGACTCTCCAAGGATCAACTAAGGCCCTTGAGGAGGACCCTTGCACGTTGATGTCAACACTGGCTGGTAGTGTGCACCCACGAAAAGGCAATCGAGAGGGCGTGTGTTGATTGACGAGGAGTCGAGTCCAACCATCGAACAACACTTAGAAAATTTGTTAAGTCTCTGACAAGGACAACGGATGTGCAGCACGGAGGAGGCCTGGTCCATCAACTAACCCACGATCTATTGATCGTGGTATCGTCCGTGGTACTACAATTTTCCTAAACATTTTAAGTTGAGTCATATATAATTAATTAAGTGGTTTGGTGTTTATTAAGGGTATTAGGTAAGCCTAATTAACTTAATTAACCCCACATATAAAGATCCCAACCCCATTTGACAACTCTCTAAATAAACTCTCTTTCTTCTCTCTTCTTTCTCTCTCTATTGGAAGACACCATTGAAGACTACCTAGGAGAGGGATTTGGGGGATGTAAAGGGAATAATTCACCATAAAATTATCATCAAATGTTGAGGTATGGCATCTAATTCACCACTGAGACCTCTTTCCTCAAAGGGTTCCTTCAAAGTATTTTCAAAAGTTGGGTTTTAATGTGGGTTCTTCTCAATCTAAAAAATTATGTTATAAATTGATTTATTTATGCTTTTTATTGGATAATATGAATATTTTAACATGTATTCTAACTTAATTATGATATATCTTAATGGTTAGGTCTAGTTTGTAGACGATGACCCTTAACCCTTAACCCTAGGTTTGATATTGACATAAATTAGGTTGAAATTAGTTCAATTGACTTGGTTATTGGTTTAATATCTATTGAATGATGTTGTTACATTAATTATGAACATATTAGAGTAATTGGTGGTGTTTCATGCTAGATCTTGAGAAGATGATCTAGCTTAGAAAGTGAATTGACCTAAGTATCTTGTTTTAAGCTATGATCTTGTATTAAATTCTGATATAGTTATTCTTCTAGCTTTTTTATCATGTTGATTATTGACTTATGATGATTTATACTCAAATTGGTTTAATTGAGGGTTAATGGTAAGACCTTGATGATGAACTATGAAGAAGACTTGGTAAGTCTTATAGTCTATATCCTTTACTTCAAAATGTGGTTCATTATGATTAAATCATGATGTTATATTGGAGTATGCCTTGTATTAGGATTTATATGGTGGTATGATGTTGAATTGAAATGTCTTGATGTTGATTGTGAGGCGTTGGCTTAAGATGTAATGTTATAAAGAGGTTTAATGATACTCATACAATTCTTATTCAGCTATGATAATGATTATATTATACAGGGGTTTGAACCTATGACCTAAACAAAGATATAATTGATAACTAAAGACTTAAAGACATTTCAATAAGGGACTCTAGCTTAGCACTGAGTGAACTAGAGTGAGAAGTGTCCCTTCCCATATAGGGAAGGTAGGAGCACTAATGTACTCTTGCTACAGGAGACTATAATGCATGTAGCATAAAGAGGGTGCCAACTATATCTCCAAGTTCTTGAAATATGTTTCCCCCATAGGAATACTAGCTAGTGGATCTACGTAGTTGCTATGTTTTATGCTTTAGTAATACCTTGGAAAGTAGTCTGCATTCCTTTGGTGTAGTATTTTATGACAACGAATTCCACACTAGCTCATGTGGACTATGTAAGTTAGGGCATGATGTTCCTACAAGATAAAATGAATCAAAGGATTGAACTCTAAAAAAAATAATCTAAGGGGTCTAACATAGTCTAGGTAGGGGTATGAGACTCTACCTAAGCATTGCACTAGTTATCCTTGAGGGGAGTCTTAAGAGGGTGTTCTTATGTATGATTATGCTTATAATGATATATGATATGTATGTGATGAACTTTCATATTGTTGATATTATATGTTGATTAGTTCACTTATGAATATGGGTTGGTTTACATTGTTAAAGTAAGATGAAATGTGTATCTAAATGTCATGTTATGTAAGTAGGATGTTAGTCATGATTCTTGTTGGGTTAATTGATTGAGTAAGGTTATGGGGCTTTGCTTGGTCATTGCACTTGTTGAATTGATAAGGGTTTATGGGTAATTGTCTTGCTTTATTTATAATGAAATGTACTCTTATTCATTCTTATTGTTAATATGACTTGATGATAGAGTTACTTGAGTATGTATCTATTATATGGTATGAACGGTTAACTTGACTAGACTTGATGTTGTAGTATTGTGATGAACATGCCTATGACTTAATGAATATGCAATATTGATTAGTATGATCTTGTATAATATGCATAAGCGTTTTTAAATGAAAAATTCATACTTTATGAAATGTCTTTTTTTTAGCATGTTCTTCAAATTATGTGTGCATATGGACTCAAACATAGTCAAGTGGCGTACTAACCCCTTTTCTTCCTTTTCCCCAATATTTAGGTTCCGGTCGTTGAAGCGTTTTGGAAGGCGGTTTGAAGAAGACTTCGATCCTTTGATCATCCAAGTAGGGTACATCCTCATTTTTCAAGGGTTATGTCAATATCAAGCTTATTTTGTTGATTTAGTCCTTAAACTCTTATATTCTATCTCCTTTGATTTGACTACAGATTGTATAAAGCCTATATGTGGCTCTCTTTACATTAATATATGGGCTATGCCCAAAAAGCTAATCGTATTAGATGGTTATGAGATGAGACAATCTTTGAAGACTATGTTCTATCTTATATATATATATATATATATATATATATATATATATATATTATGCAATAAAAGTAGAAGGCTATGTAACCTTCATATACGAAGGGTCTATGGATACTCGGTATATATATATGTTAAGTGTATGTGGAGGTCTATGTAAACCTCCGAGTAGAACTAATGAAAAGTTTTAAATTTTCAGTTAAATTTGACCTATGAATGTTATGATGTAAACTAAAAGGCTAGTCTTATTCCTCAAAGAGGACGACGACGCCAGTTACGCATAGGTCGTAAACCCGAATGTGACACTGGAAAACCCGCTTCCATCAAAAACTGCGTTGATAAGACTGTCTTGGATCATTTGAAGGTTGAAGATGAAGAGAGTTATGTAGATCATTATTGGTATCATTCCTTTGATTGTTTATGTTGTTTCTGGTCTACTCTAGAGATAGAAATATTTGTTTTCAAGTGCTTCTCATTTGTGAATTTTCTCTTTTTTCTTCTTTATTTATTCTAGGTCTTCAATCACAAATGATTCAAGTGTACCATTAGGAATTTCATTAATAACTGTTAAATTGATAATGAATTGTATTAAGAATAAATATGTTTAACCAACCATTGGAAGAAATAGTAGAGAAAAACTCCAAATTTATGAAGTAGCTATTTATTTATATCTTTGTTACTTCATATGAATATTCATGAAAATGGTTGTATTGTCATGAAACTTTTTGTAGAACCACTATCTACTATTTTTAAATTAGATATTTATTTCAATAACTTGGTAGAAGCATATGAAAGACAAAAAGATAGGGTTTTGCTATGAACCATTACCATTAGAGCGGTAAATGATTTTAAAAGAGGTAAAAAAATTCATATTTGTACCATTTTGGTGATTTGTGTTACCACTTTTCTGATTATACACTCCTGTTATTTTATTTATTCTTTCAAGAATATTTACCACTAATAAAAAGAAAATTCTCAATACTAATTTCTTTGTTGTATTTTGTTCTTTTTCAGCTTTTTTCATTTGTCTTTTACGTGTGCCTCTCAACGATGTCATCTTCCAAGAATCTTTAACCAACGATTCAAGTTCTTTATATATGAAAAAATAAGATGTTTTCCAACTCATATATATATATATATATATATATATATATATATCAGGTAAATTACATGTTCGCATGAGATTGATCTATTTAATTAAACTTACATGACTATTCAATAATGTCTCTACTTGTTATACATATATTATATTATCAATGTCATTTTATCTTAAGGAAAAAACATTCCTCTGAAATCTTAAAGTGCTATATTTAATTAACTTTTATTTTTGTTGCATAAAAATTATGAGTGATAGTGAGATTTTAAGTATAAAAAAGAAGTGTAAGAAATCTCCATGGAAATAGTTTGTCGGAAGAGAAAAAAATTTCTAAATTTGAGGAAGTTATAATGAACAATATGAGACGTTAAAGTAGAGACCAAAAGGCCTTGAACAATAATACTCCCAAGTAAATTTGAACATCAAGTTTATACAAGAATATAATTACCTAAATTCAAATGGAGGAGTCTCAGCTCCTTTCTTATGAACCTCCATCAATATCTTTTTACTATAGCATGTCTTATCACATATATGTCAAAAATGACCCTAAAATTTTTAATATCATAATGGTTTTTCCTCATTGTCTCATAATAATCATTATTATTTCTTAGGATTCACATTAGGGATCCGAACACATTTGAAATTGAACCATAGTTATTATTATTATTATAGTATGTAATTAGAAAGAATTGATGCAATGATCAACCAAGTTGTAGGTGACATCAAATGAAATTTTTCACAATTGGATATTCTAAATCAAATTTATGAATATAACATATTAAAATCTCACGACATAATTGTGCGAGCACTTAAACTCACAAATATCCATAAATAATAATAAATGTAGCGTTACTTTCCTGATAATCAAGAAAAAAATACATGTTGTTTAACATATTTTAAAACGATAGTGTATCGAGTTGTATTCAAGTTTACAGTTTACAAATTTATTTGAAAGAAGTCAAAACAAAAACTAATCACTACAACAAAAATGATCTTTAACAAAAATTAATAGCTTTTCATTTTTAGTAAAATATTGGTTTTATTAATCAAAATTAAAATTATATGTTCGAGACCCGAAAGAGGCCCAAACCTGAGAATAGAAACAACAAAATTAAATAGTAAAGCAGTGAAACCCATTTAGAAATTGAATCCCAAAAAAAAATCAGCTGACTTTCCTCAAATCTTGATGACTGAAAATCTTAACTTAAATGGAGCTGCAACATAAAAATGACCTCACGCAAATCACGCTATGGAAAGATTCGTTTAGACGTCCATTTCAGCTCCCCATCAATTTTAGAGCATCTTGCTACCACCGTATAGGATTTAAGATCTCGAGAAGTAAGCACCCTAATCTCGATCTTATAAAAGAAATGACCGTACTCAACATTTTATATAGCACTGAGAGTGATTTTTGATTTCTTTTTGTTGTAGTGTAATATACTTGTCTTGAATTTGTTTCTTTCATAGTTGTTCATGTCATGCCCTGCGTATCAGCATGTATTATGTGCATTTGTGGTAAAGCCTCTGTTTTGCATTTTTTTTATCCTCAAATTCGGGATTTGATTTTTTTCCAACTGAATGATAACTTGTGATCTTTTTTGTAATACATGAATGTGGAAATATACGTGCAAAAAAAGTTATTGCTAGTTAAGAAATCAGCTAGTTTATTCACTTCTGTGAATGTGTGAATCACCTCCACATTCCTACGGTGTAGTGAAACTTTTATGCTTTTGACATCCATAGTAACAATCCAAGGAACATCCCAAACACCATCTACGATTCTTTTAGTAATGAATGAATCAGTTTCTATAGTTAATGGTAAATAACCCTTTGGAACACAATACTCTATACCCAGTTCCATTTAAACTTCAATTGTTCAAGCTTCTCCTATTTTCTTTGCTTCAGCATATACCAGATCACCTTCATCATTCCCAATACAAAATACCACTGCATTAAGACCTGGATTCCCTTTGCTACACCCATCAGTATTACATTTAAAAGTGCCCCGAGATGGTAATTTCCAAGTCACCACCTTGCAACAATTTAAAGGAGTATATTCTCTTCCAAATGATTAACAATCAATTAGGTATTTCCTTCAGTCATGGAGAGACTAAATATGTATTATGAGAGGCAATTATTACTCCCAATAAATGTACATAAAGTATATAGTGACCATTGTATCTAATGACAGTTAATTAATATCAGGGAAGGCAACAGAACTCTTCGTTATTTACATATTTATTACTCATAAAAATTATTTTTGTTATAGTATATTTTGATCATTTGTTAGTTGTAAGAAAACTTGATCTCTTATTATCCCAAAAAAGAAGAGAGGAAGAAATATGACAAATTACTTAACTTGCGATAAAAGAAGTGACCTAATTGTCTCTATCTAATATTCTAGGAAGGATAATGAAATGACATACAAAATGTTTGTATCTAAGATAAAAAAATTAAAATAATATACTAATTGTGGCAATCAAGATATCAATTTGTTTCTTTTTTTTAACAAACTTCATCATTGGTTCCATATTAATCATCACATATTTATTGTTGTGTGCCATCAACTATAGCACACCCACAAGCAATTTTCTCAAAAAGTATATGAATAAGTTTGTAGAAAGACATAAAAGAGAAGATCAATTTCAATCATCATTGCGACATTATCAAAATAGCAAAAAGAAATTACAATAGTTACATGAATCACTATAACTTTCAACGAAAGATTAATCTTCATGAAATACGATGTAGAAAACTTTGAGGAATGAAATAATACTTCATAAGAAACTTAGTTTATGTGTTTGAATTTGGCTCCCTATAGCGGAAAAGACCCTACAAGTAATAGTGGCAGAAATAGATATTTTATTTACTAAACAATATTACGAATGCAACCATTCCATCATGTTATGAGTTGTGGGCTTAGAGGGCCAACAGTATTAATGTCGCGTTACAATTGAAATCAATTTTCTTTGTTTAATCATTCTTATTTTGGTGTCTTGCAACTAAGTGTCGGATTTTTAAAAGGTGTGAATTAAAAGTGAAGAGTTGTGACTTTTGTGGAAATTTGTGACCTTTATGTAGATTTCTGACTTATCTAAAGAATTGTGATTTTTATGAAAAGTAATTTTCCGTACGATTGGGACTTTTAAGAAGGGTCAAATAAGAATCATGATTTGTGAGAGTGGCACATAGATGTGTTTAAAATTCTCTTTTATATAAGAACTAGGTAATTTGTCCGCGCTTCAAGCGATTGTAAATAATAATTACATTGAGTTTGCAACTAATTTTTTTAGTAATATCTATTCATTGAAAATAATGAAAAAATAAGTTCTTAAAAAATATATTAGCAATATACAAACATGAATATGGTTATTTTTCATTATCACATAACCCAAGAACATCCAATGAATGAATTATTCACGAAATAATAAATCATTGATTCTTTAGTAAATATTTAAAGGAAATTAAAGATGAAAATAAGGATGTATATATAAAGGCATTTCGTAATATAAAGAAACATTTAAGTTGCATAGATTCTATAATTGGGATAGATGTCTTAGGAGAAAATTAAAAAAATTGTTAACATATTCAAAAAAAAAGAAATTACACTTGAGCATGAAATCAATTATAACTTTTGAACTTGCATAGTGGATTTCATGAATTGGTAAGTGACAAAGTTTATATTTATGTTAAAATAGACAATGTGTAAGCTCATATAGTACTTTTAAATTATAAAATTTAATATTAAATATCAAAACATAAATTCTTGGAAGTTAGTATAATAATTATTTTCTCCACAATGAATATGTGTACTATATGTGTATATGTTCAATATAATCGGAGACAATAACTTTGAAGAAACATAAAAGAGAGTTTTAAACATGTAATCAAATTCATAATTTAATGAGTGTAAAAAAATATGTCAGGATATGTAAAAATAGAATGAAGTAGAAAGGAACAATCGAGTCCACTGAATGCACAATGTCCCCTTAAGAAAACTATTCCCTTCCAATATCAGAGGTTTAAAGAATTACATCCTCTCAGGATGGAACAATTTTATATTACCAATTAATTTATACAAAAATAATGGTGTTAGTAAGTCACTCAAAATGAGCAAAGTACACATATATTTTATTTTGCAAAAGTAGAAGAAGAAGATCAGATTTTTTGTTGTTTTAAGATGAGAGAAAATCTCACTATTAATAAACAACAAAGGGTAGTGTAAAAAATTATTTATGGTCCCTGATCAGAAAGGTTACAACTATTTGGAAAAGTTACAACCCTTTGGAAAGTTCACAATCTTTAATAAAAGTCACAACTTTTCATAGAGTCACAACTCTATGAAAAGGAAGGAGAGAGATATTTCTAGTGTGAAATTTGTCGATGGATTGCGAATTTCTAGTCAAGATCACCGTCATGAATTTCAAAACAAAAATCCAATACAAAAGCTCTGTGCATTTCCTTGTGTCCCAGGCAGACTAGGTTTTATGAATTGAGTAGTTTAATGTTGTGCTCATTGTGTAATGTATGTGAACCGATTGTAGGATTCATGCATACGTCTTCATGCACCAAATGATATATAATTCAACTTCTAGAAAGAAGCCTTAGACAATAAATTAGGGATTACTATGGTCGAATCAGGGTTTGCATGATGTGTGTGATGATTAATTTATTGTAGGTGATGGTTGTGATTCTAGAATTGTGTGATGCATGTTGTTTTTTCTTCATTGTGATACTTGTATATATATGAATGTTGCATCATCGATAACAATATTTGAAGAGGACATAGAGGAATTTTCAGTGCCTGAATCATGTTTAAATGTATGATCTTGAGAATATACCGGTGATTATGGTGTGTGGCATGGATTTGTTTCCATGTTCTCGCATAACTAACTTGGATCGATTGACACATTCTGGCATAAATAACTTGAATCGGTTGCCATGTTCCCGCATAACTAACTTGAATCGGTTGCCACATTATTGCATAACTAACTTGGATCGGTTGCTACGTTTCAGCATAACTAACTTGGATTAGTGCCAGTTTTCGGTATGCTAACTTTTTGGGTTTGAGTTGCATGAGAGAATCAATGATTTGCGTAATTGTGTATAATTATCTTAGTGTGTGATAATTGATATTTGTATATGCCCAGTATTTTGCATGTTGGTAATGTAGAATTGACTTGCTTATATATGTTTCACCTAGTGGGTATAGGTATGAATGGCTTGTATTTGATTATCTTTGTCTTAAGTGAAATTTTTGGGTATAGTGGAAGGGTAAAGTATTCAAGGGGAGAGTAATACATAACAAGGGTTGTTCGTATGTCATATTGTTGAGAAATAGAGGTAGTGCATGTGGTGTAATATTCTTAGATGGATTTCACCTTGGGGGAATAAACTGTGTTTAGTGGTAAGGAAGTTTGATGTAGTGTGCTTTGTGACCATGGCTGGGTAATGTAACGAGGAAATAAGAATAAGAGGAGATAGAAGAATGATGAATGCCCTGAAGCGTGAGTTCAATGTATGATATTGAGAATATACTTGTAATTGCGGTGTGTGGAACAAATCTATTTCCACGTTCCGGCATAACTAACTTGGATTGGGTTCCACATTCTAGATTAAGTAACCTGGATCAATTGCCACATTCCGTCATAGCTAACTTGGATTTGGTACTTCGTTCCAGCATGCTAACTATTTGGATTTGAGTTGAATGATAGTATCAATGATTTACATAATTATGTCTAATTATATGAGCGTGCGATAATCGATATTATATATGCCCAGTATTTTACATTTTTATAATATAGAATTGATTTACCTATGTATGTTTTACCTAGTTGGTATATGTTGGAATGGCTTGTATTTGATTATATTTGTATTGAGTGAACTATTTAGGTATTGTGGAAGGGTAAAGTGTTCAAGGGGTGACTAATGGATAACAAGGGTTGTTCGTATGTCATATTGGCGAGAAATAGAGGTAATGGATGTGATGAAATATGATTAGATGGATTTCACCTTGAGGGAAAGAGACTGCATTTAGTTGTAAGGAAGTTGGATGATAGTGTGCTCTGTGACCATGTCTGGGTAATGTGACGATGATGTAATAGTACGAAGTGAGGGGTTGGTTGGACTGCTTATGGGTGAAATTGGGGGTCTGTTAATGTGTTAGAATAGTTAGGCTTGACAAGGTGGAGACACAGGTGACTATTTCATGATCTTACTAGTTGATTGTTTATGTTATGTGGTGGGTGTTGGGTTGACAAATCATGCCTGCCAGTACGTGTGCTTGTAGTGATACTACTATTTCTATGTCTTTTGACATAGTCTTGATGCAAGTTGGTGATATCTAATTAGGTGAAAACGAAGAAATTCTTCAGCAGCTTCTATTCTTCCTTATGCATGGTGGGAGTCCTGTCATTTATTTATCTTATCCATTTGTACTTTTAGTAGATCTTGTACATGTTTAGACTAGGTCCTTGGAAGTGTTAATTACTTTATAAGTTTCACATCGAGATTGTTTAAAGGTTTTTAATTAAGAATTTGTTATTAAATTCATTACGATTTATTCAAATTTTTGCATGTTTTAAATTGTTGGGTTATGATGGTTCTTCTATTTAGGTGGTAGTTTGTAGGTGCAGGTATGACCCAGTGGGTTTGGTCATGACATTTTCATTTTTAATTTAGTTTCACTAGTTAAAAAAGATAATATTAAGGATGTATTAATTATGTATCATGAATAGATAATATTTTCATGAAAGATTAAAGTTAAATGGAGTACCTTCATCATTTTTTCCAGCGTAATCAGAACTCAAGGATATACCAAGCACGCCTGATAGACTTGTCCTAATATTGACGGCTTTGTTCTCCTAACTTAACAATTCACATATAAGTCTAGAAAACATTAGTTACATTTATATATATACAACACCTAGACAAATATATAAAACATATTCCCACTCAGAGAAATACTTTAACACATAAAAAAAGTAAGTACAATTTTAAATACATAATTAAGCCACTTATTTCTAAGGAAGGGGTCAAACCCAAAAAACAACTTCCTTTTGAAAAAATGTCAGAGAAGAGCAGTGATAAGACTCACGTGTAACACTCAAACTTCGAAAGAACTGAGTAGATGTTCGTACAAGTTAACTATTAGTTTTTAGTTTTGGATCAACTTCAGATACCATATCTTGTAGCTCATAAAGATTTAGGTTATCCTTCACCTATCAAATCGAAGGATTTTGCTTCCTCTTTCCAATGCCACCAAATTTGATAAATTTTGAGTTTCGAGTAAAATGTTATGGTTGCTTGAGTGAAGCCTCACAATTTAAGGCATTCCATTTGTATTAGGAAAGGGTATATTTGTCTTTTCCTTTTTTTCACCTCTCAACAACTTTTTTCTGACCCAATTAAGGTTTAATCAGATACTAAATCCCCCATTCACGTTCAAATAACTTAGGGATTTGCAGCGAGGTTTTAAGACAGGAAAATGGGCTAAATTCTAGCATTCTTCAAGATTCGTTGAATTCGCCAAGATGATCGCTCTTTCCAGGACGTATGTACAACTTTTCGATTGATGGACTTGTTCGTGCTCGAGCCTATCATCTCTAGTCCTTCCATGAAACCGTTATGTTAAGAGATTCTTGATTGGCTCATAATTGTTGTTCATTTTTTAACAATGGAAGTTCTTGAGTTTTTTTGAGTTGAGGATCTTGAGCATGAATTTTGATTTGGGATAGAGATTTCATGGGTTTCGGATGATTTTATATGGGTTTGTAAATAAAAAAGAGTTTAGAAGAAATCATTCGATTTTAGATGAGTTAGCACAAGAAATTTAGAAGAAAAAATCGTCAGAGTGCTAGGGTAGGGCGCCAAGCCACCATAGCGCCACAACTACTGCTCAATAGTTTAAGACCCGGTGAACAACTTCAGCACTGCGCTCCAAACACTGTCCAAAATATTATGGGCTGGCGCCTTGCTCCACTCAATGAGCCATGTCCTTTTCTTTTCCATCCTTCATTCTGATGGGTTCTTTCAAAACGCGTCTACGTTCTCTTATTAATATGAACTCTTAAAATCTTGATTAATCCTTGATATATACTACATTTCCAAATCACATGTCTTAATTTGCATTTCAAGTTGAAGGTAGATTAAGTTGAAAGTTATAAGAAGTCTTTTGTGTCGACTTGAGAATTCTTTTGTAAACAACTAGAATTTTGAACTAACTCTTGAGAAAGTAAATATTAGAAATGAGAAGAGTTACATTCATATTTGAGAAATGAGAAGAGTTACATTCATATTTTAGTGCCTTTGTTGGACACCTGTTAAGCATGTGAACTGCTGTAGGCACTGCTTCTACCCTAAAGTAGTTTGGCAGCCATTTTTCATTCATCATAGTTCTGGCCATTTCAACAATTGTTCTATTTCTTCTTTCATATACACCATTTTGTTGAGGAGTATACCCTGCTGTAAGTTGCTTTTGAATGCTTTCATTTTTGCAATATTCTTCAAATTCTCGACTTGTGTATTCACCTCCTCGATCACTGCGAATGGTTTGGATGCTGCAACCTTTTTTCTTCTCAACAAGGGCTTTAAATTTCTAGAATGTAGGAGTATATTCTCTTCCAAATGATTAACAATCAATTAGGTATTTCCTTCAGTCATGGAGAGGCTAAATATGTATTATGAGAGGCAATTATTACTCCCAATAAATGTCCATAAAGTATATAGTTAACATTGTATCTAATGACACTTAATTAATATCAGGGAAGGCAATAGAACTCTTCGTTAATTTACATATTTATTGGTGATAAAAATTGTTTTTGTTATAGTATATTTTGGTAATTTGTTAGTTGTAAGAAAACTTGATCTCTTATTATGCCAAAAAAGAAGAGAGGAAGAAATATGACAAATTACTAACTTGCGATAAAAGAAGTGACCTAATTGTCTCTATCTAATATTCTATGAAGGATAAAGAAATGACATACAAAATGTTTGTATCTAAGATAAAACAATTAAAATAATATACTAATTGTGGCAATCAAGATATCAATTTGTTTCTTTCTTTTAACAAACTTCATTATTGGTTCTATATTAGTCATCACATATTTATTGTTGTGCGCCATCAACTATAGCACACCCACAAGCAATTTTCTCAAAAAGTGTATGAATAAGTCTATAGAAAGGCACAAAGAGAAGATAAATTTCAATCATCATTGCGGCATTATCAAAATAGCAAAAGATATTACGATAGTTACATGAATCACTATAACTTTCAATGAAAGATTAATCTTCATGAAATAGGATGTAGAAAACTTTGAGGAATGAAATAATACTTCATAAGAAACTTAATTAATGTGTTTGAATTTGGCTCCCTATAGCGGAAAAGACCCTACAAGTAATAGTGGCAGAAATAGATATTTTGTTTACTAAACAATATTACGAAAGCAACCATTCCATCATGTTATGAGTTGTGGACTGAGAGGGTCAACCGTATTAATGTCGCATTACAATTGAAATCAATTTTCTTTGTTTAATCATTCTTATTTTGGTGTCTTGCAACTAAGTGTCGGATTTTTAAAAGGTGTGAATTAAAAGTGAAGAGTTGTGAATTTTGTGGAAATTTGTGATCTTTATGAAGATTTCTGACTTATCTAAAGAATTGTGATTTTTATGAAAAGTAATTTTTCCGTAAGATTGGGACTTTTAAGAAGGGTCAAATAAGAATCATGATTTGTGAGGGTGGCACATAGATGTGTTCAAAATTCTCTTTTAAATAAGAACTAGGTAATTTGTCCGCGCTTCGAGCGATTGTAAATAGTAATTACATTGAGTTTGCAACTAATTTTTGTAGTAATATCTATTCATTGAAAATAATGAAAAAATAAGTTCTTAAAAAATATATTAGCAATATATCAACATGAATATTGTTATTTTCATTATCACATAACCCAAGAACCTCCAATGAATGAATAATTTACGAAATAATAAATCATTGACTCTTTAATAAATATTTAAAGGAAATTAAAGATGAAAATAAGAATGTATATATAAAGGCATTTCGTAATATAAAGAAACATTTAAGTTGCATAGATTCTATAATTGTGATAGATGTCTTAGGAGAAAATTCAAAAAATTGTTAACATATTAAAAAAAAAAAAGAAATTACGCTTGAGCATGAAATCAATTATAACTTTTGAACTTGCATAATGGATTTCTTCAATTGATAAGTGACAAAGTTTATATTTATGTTAAAATACACAATGTATAAGATCATATAGTACTTTTAAATTATAAATTTAATATTAAATATCAAAACATAAATTCTTGGAAGTGAGTATAATAATTATTTTCTCCACAATGAATATGTGTACTATATGTGTATATATTCAATATAATCGGAGACAATAACTTTGAAGAAACATAAAAGAGAGTTTTAAACATGTAATCAAATTCATAATTTAATGAGTGTAAAAAATATGCCAGGATATATAAAAATATAATGAAGTAGAAAGGAAAAATCGAGTCCACTGAATGCACAATGTCCCCTTAAGAAAACTAATCCCTTCCAATATCAGAGGTTTAAAGAATTACATCCTCTCAGGATGGAACAATCTTATATTACCAATTTATTTATACAAAAATAATGGTGTTAGTAAGTCACTCAAAATGAGCAAAGTACACATATATTTTATTTTGCAAAAGTAGAAGAAGAAGATCAGATTTTTTGTTGTTTTAAGATGAGAGAAAATCCCACTATTAATAAACAACAAAGGGTAGTGTTAAAAACTATTTAAGGTCCCTGATCAGAAATGTTACAACTATTTGGAAAAGTTACAACCCTTTGAAAAGTTCACAATCTTTCATAAAAGTCACTACTTTTCATAGAGTCACAACTCTTTGTTAAAGTCGCAACTTTTCATAAAAGTCACATTTTTTTAAGAAAGAGGAAGGATAGTTTTAAAAATAAATAAACTTAAAAGAAAATTTTTGCTTGTGGTGGCGCCACATAAATGGACCTAGGATTCTCGTTTATATAAGTAGATGACATAAGATAAGATAAAATAAGATTTTATTTTTGAACCTATTAGCACATCAAAATGCAACTCAATAGGTCTTCTTTTCCAAAATTGACCAGCTTTCCAATTTCATAGTTTCATACAATATAAAAGCATTTGCCATTCAACAAACAAATAGTAAAATACAATGTGTACTCATTAATTTTATCTTGTGTTTTAAAACAAATTTTATTGTTGATTACACTACAAATTTAATATAATTTATTTTGTATATACTATTTGCATGGAACAAACGTGCAACACACATGTCAAAGAATTGGTATCCTAGATAACTATTTTACTCTTTAAATAGATTTACAAAGTTAATCATGTTTTAGTTATCAATTATAACTTTGACACACTTTAATTACTAAATACATTATCGTATAATATATGTGTAATATTTCAAGTCAACTTAATTTCTCTTTAATTAATATAAAGAAACCTATGGAATCATCTTAAAGATGAACAAGACCAAGAAATTTAGACCATTTGCACTTTTAAGTAGCCCAATATACAGAGCCGAATCTT